CTCTCTCTCTCTCTCTCTCTCTCTCTCTCTCTCTCTCTCTCCCCGTGGCGATGTCTTCAGCGCAGGTACGTGGTAAACCAATCTTGTATCGCTCGTCTCTCTCTCTCTCTCTCTCTCTCTCTCTCTCTCTCTCTCTCTCTCTCTCTCTCTCTCCCAACGTTGTCTTCTTGCAGGTACGCACAGCGACGACCTCCTCCGCAGTGCAGCTATGGCGCCCTACCTGGCGCGCGTCTCTGACCTGCAGCAACGGCGATGGCGCATGGAATAGCGGGTACCAGCTCTGATACCAATGCAATCAGACCCGCTTTCTTTCACACCTCACATGCATGTAAACAGGTAGCGCAACAACTGGCGCCAAGCGCCCACTCAGAACTTAGAGATATGGTAACCAAGAACACAGTTCAGATACAAGCTCACTTCAGATGGCTATGGCGCGTTAGCGCTTGTACAACTCTCTGTTCGTCACTCACCCAACTCTGCTGTTCATACACAGGATCACCCTGGATATCCCACACGCAACTCATTGTACACACACACACACACACGCTACACTCTACTCCCAGCTATGGCAGCTATGGCCGCTACTACCTCTACCGCTATGGCTAAGCTCTCCTTCGGCCCACTTCTTCTTCGGGCATAATGCAGACCACCTCGCACAAGTCGCTGTGGCAGCGCTTCCGTATGGCTTACGCAGGAATGAATGAATGGCTGGGCGCTGCCTCCTGATTTATACTTTTGTAACTCGTTGGTTTGCCCCTTTCCCATGCCCGTGGTGCACACAGTCCCATACGGTACTTGCTTGACTGGACTAGGACTGACTGGGACTGTTGCATACCATAACGATGCAGACCAGACCAAGAACCGGCCTTTCTCACCAGATACAAGATAGCACAACGGAAGGCTTAAATACCAATGATCCGATCAATCAAGCTGCCATGCAGACCAAACATGCATCATCATCATTCCATGGTGTTAAGGGGGCTGACGTTCACACGGGAAGAATGCGTCAGTCCCCCGATCATGCACAGACGAAGAAGAGGGGGATGAGACGAAGGGGAGGGAGAAGATGGAAATGTCGTCAACACCAAGTCTTCGATACAATCCCAAATAATCCCTCGCCAAAGGTCTGAGTCCCGACGTTGAGTCTGAAACCCAATGTCGTCAAATCCCAATGTCGCCCATCTCTCTCTCTCTCTCTCTCTCTCTCTCTCTCTCTCTCTCTCTCTCTCTCTCTCTCTCTCTCGTAGCCGGTAGATACTGAGAAGTCAGAGGGCGAGAGGGTGAGGAAGAGATGGTGGACTTAGAGGAGGAAGAAGAAGAACTCAATCTCTCTCTCTCTCTCTCTCTCTCTCTCTCTCTCTCTCTCTCTCTCTCTCTCTCTCTCTCTCTCTCTCTCT